TATAATAATGTTGTGTAGTCTTTAATACTATAGACACAGCCAGTTTTACTCACTGAAAGATTTATTCGTCATAAAATTATTACTTCATAATTGTATTCGAGTCTTACACACATGCTATACAGATAATGTAGAGTCGTGCATTATTTTGAGTGGTGACAGATATTATGGGAGTGGCTTGATGGAGTGCAGGAGTTGCAGATAACATGATCTTGACCCTTAAGAATCTTGAATTAATGCTGTCACGTAACAAATCTGTTCAAATATAAAATTAAATGAATTGCTAATTGCTACATTGAAATAAAAATGTAAAGCCTGTACAAAAATTTGAAATCGTGAATATAAATAGGCTAATTGGGAATCATGTAAAACATTTTAATAAAATAAAAACTATTATAACATTTATGTAGTTTTGCTCACTCGTCAGGTGTCTTTTTTAATTATATGATGTCATTACGTTGCTGTCTTGCCGCCAGACAATCGCTGCATTGCTGATCATGGTTTCGAGTATCGATACATAGTCCCTTTAAAACCAACCCATGAACACGCAATTATCTCAGATTACTCAATCCAGCCATACTAATCATCAACAAGATGCCAGATCCTTATTAGTGCGATGATATCATCTTAGATGTGACATTTAATCTCGGATGTAATAAGCGACGTACGAAGAACGGGCCCCTGGAGTCAACAAGCAGCATGAAAAACAAAACAAAAAATAAATAAATAAATAAATAACGAGCAAACCAAACCAAAACAAAGGGGAAAAAACATACAGAAAACAAAACAAAACAAAACAAAGCAAAGCAAAAAAACTATTCAGGTGATTCAATTCAACAACCATCAAATAATAAAATAAATAAAATAAAATAAAATAAAATAAACACTCAATATTCCAATCTGGGTTTAAAAACAAAAAAATGCAAATTTTGCATGTCAACATATAGATTATGGTTGGAGAATCCCATAATCATCTGTTGCTCAGGTCATTAAAATGATCTCAAACAACTGCAGCAGCCTTGGACACAAATGAGAATAAGAATTGGCTTCCTTTCAAGTCATGAGTTGGACGCCCCGCAGAACGTCGGATTGGAATGTGAATTGGAATGACAGGAAGAATTTCCTGGATTAAAATTCAAATAAATTCAACAGTGACACAACAAGAACAGATTACTTTACGTTTTCCATCTCGCAAACCAGCTTCACATGGTTTGGTTCTGTTTCAAAGACTTAGCAGACTTAAAGCAATAATGGAAGCAGCAAACAGATTCTACTCACAGTTGCATGATAAGATATAAATGAGTGGGGCTCTCATAAATGTCTTCCAGTGTCACAATGTTCTCATGCTTGATCCTGAAAAGAACAGATGAAATATTTGATCAATTACAACGAAGCAGAGTTGCACTTGAGTGGATTATGAAGGCTTTGTTTTGGATGGCTGACGTTGGTTCCGATTGCACATTCCCGTACACCATAGCATACATTCTGGGCTGATATGTTGAGCTATTTTATTCATGCAGATGATGAAAACAAAAGGAATTCCCATATGTAAGTTGCTAAACAACCATTACAGTCTCTGCTATCATTCTGACCATCTCCAATCCAGCTGCAGCGGTTTTACTCGCCAACGTATTGCCTCGCCTCCTTGCCTGAACGCCTTTTTACCATGACAACCACGGACCTGCGCTCGGCCTCAACGTGCGGTGAATAGCGAGGTCTGTGGCGGAGGCCACATGAATCATTTGTACAACCTTTAAAATGCTTCCAAATGGTTTTGACAGGGACAGGTAGGAGTCAGTAAAGGTAGGAGGCTGTGAGGGGTGTGTCGTAAAGGCTGAGTCATCTCCCGCTTTGAGGAGAAAAGCACAAACTCCCACTAACAGCTTCCTTTGAACTTTAGGGTTTTCGTCTGTAGCTAGAGAATCTTATGTAAAGCATGTAATGGGTGTTGGGTTTGTTATTTTAAGTCTTTTCCGGGAGCTTTTAGAATACTTACTTCCTCAGCACTGCAATCTCGTTATCTATTCCGCTCTCTTTTCCTCTTAGTGCTTTTTTTGGGATGCATTTCACGGCGTACATCTCTCCTGTGGCCTTCTCTTGGGCCAGGACCACCTCAGAAAATGCCCCACTGGAAAAAAGCATAAAAGAAAGGGTGTAAAGTGTAAAATGGTGGACAGAGACAAAATAAAGTGCTTGAAAGGTAAGCAGCATATAGTGGGGTCTAATAGTCTAAAACAACAATGAAAATACAATAATAAAATGAAAATAAAAATTAAATAGTAGTGCTTTAGATAGCCAGAATAAAATACAACAAAATAAAATAAAAAAACAAAATAAACAAAACAAAACAGACTACAACAGGACAGAAGCATGTAAAATAAAATAAAATAAAACAAAATAAAATAAAAGTTGTGCTTTAAATTAGATAGCCTACAAAGTGGCAGAAGCATAATATAGAATAAAACAAAATAGTAATGCTTTAGACAGCCTACAAAGGGAAAGAAGCATAAAATAAAATAGTATAAAATAAAAAAAACAGTAGTGGTTTAGCCTACAAAGTGGTCCAAGCACAAAGTAAATTTTTTTTTTAAAAATAATAGTGATTTAGACAGCTTACAAAGGGACAGAAGCAAAATAAAATAAAAAATTAAATTAAATAATAAACAGTTGTGCTTTAGACAGCCCATGAAGGGACAGAAGCATAAAATAAAATAAAATAAAAAATAGTAGTGCTTCAGACAGCCTACAAAGGGGCAGAGGCATAAAATTAAATGAAATTAAAACTACTAGTGCTTTAGACAGTCTACCAAAGGGGCAGAAGCATATAAAATAAAAATAGTTCTGCTTTAGTCTACAAAGGGACAGAAGCATAAAATAAAATAAAATAATAAAAAAGTACTTCAAAGTCATTTGACTTGACTAATTTATGAGCATTTAAAATACTAAGGACCCACTTCAAATGTCTGTACTTCTTCAAATATTTGTTTAAACCAATGCCAAACCTGTATGAACACATTCACGTCTGCTGTGATTCTGTGTAGGGATGTTGTATCATATGCACTGTGTGTAATCAGTTGGGCACTGTGGCTTGCAGCTAAGCCTTTATTGGTCTCTGAAAATCCACTCTAATCTCTTGGCACACACACACACGCAGTCATTTACAAACACTGACACGAGCACTCGCCACAATTCAGAAAACTTGGAACAAAAGGCTGTTTTTCAGTCAAAAGGTTTCCTGAACCATTTCATCAAACATAGGGCGTGGCGCTTTGCCAAAATGAAGCATTTGTCATCGGTTTCTTAAACTGTAAAATTCATTTCTCATCTGTGATTGAAACATAAGCCCTTCAGGAGGCTTGAAATGTAGTGACTCATTGGCCAAGCGCCCAGCAGGTTGAGTACTTTGTAAGCTATGTGTTCATATAAGCATTTGAGATTGCAGTGGGCGCGGCGTTCATCTCTGCAAAGGATTAAACTAGAAAAAAAATAACAGTGTGTGGTTGCATAGAGTGCATTAAATATTTAACACATATGTAATTCAGACACCTTTCACAGTGGTGTTTTCTGCTGCAAACGGTGCTAAAATATTATGGATGGTTGCCAGGAAGTTGCTAGGTGGTTGTTAAGGTGTTCAGAGTGGTACAGTATGAAGTGCATTGCTATGCAGTTTTTAGGGCATTATAGGTTGATAGGTGACTGTTTACTGGGCCAAGTCAGAACATAGCAAATATGATTGTCTAGAAACCTCGAGTGAACAAGCAAGGCCAAAAATAGATAATAAGAAATAAAACAAAATAAAACAGAACAAACCAAAACATAGCAAATTTGATTGTTTAAAAAGTTATAGCACACCTCAAGTCAACAAGCAGCGTGCAAAATAAAAAAATAAAACAAAATAAAAATGAACAAAACAAAACCTAGCATGTTTGATTTATTTAGAAAGTAATAGCACACCTCATGTCAACAAGCAACACAAAAATAAATATATAAAAAATGAAATAGAACAAAAAACAGAAAATTTGATTGTTTAGAACAGGGATCCTCAAATCTGGCCCACGAGATCCACTTTCCTGCAGAGTTTAGCTCTAACCCTAATCAAACACACCTGAGCGTGCTAATCAATGTCTTCAGGATCATTAGAAAATCACAGGTAGCTGAGTTTGATCAGGGTTGGAGCTAAACTCTGCAGCGCATTGGACCTCCAGGGCAAGATTTGAGGAACCCTGGTTTAGAAGGTAATAGCACACCTCAAGTCACAAGCAGCATAAAAAACATAATTCAATAAAAAAAGCATGAAAAAAGATAATTCAAATGATTCAATTCAGCAACAAGCAAATAATAATAATAAACCAAACTAAAATAATAAAAATTGGTATTGCATTGGGTGCTAGCACACATCAAGTCAACAGTGCAAATAAATAAATAAATACATAAAAATACAAAGAACAAAACATAGCAAATTTGATTGTTTTGTTTGAAGTCAATAGACAAAACTAAACCAAAAATAAGACTAAACAAATCAAAGCAAAGCAAAATACAAAACAAAACAAACCACAAAATTCAAAGCAAATATAATAATGATAATAATAACATAAAATAAAGAGTGGTATTAATTGCATTGTTATGTGGTTGCTTGGGAGTTATGGGTGGTTGCCATGTGACTGCTTACTGGGCCAAGTCAGAACACAGCAAATTTGATTGTTTAGAACAGTAATAGCACGCCTTGATTCGACATGCAGCATGAAAAACAAAACCAAAACAAAAAAAGCACAAAACCTCAAAAACCGTAATTCAGTTCAACAAACAGCAAATAATAAAATAAAATAAACTAATTCTAACTAATATAGGGTAGAGTGTAATAGAGTATAGCTACTTCCATTTTTGCCATCAGTCTGGTATCAGTCAACCAACAGCAGAGGAAATCATCAAAGCACAGGAAGTTTAAACTCAGAAACTCAATGCCATGTGTGTCACACCTTCAGGTATAAGGCTATGAAAGCATGACCGTTAACCCACATCCACTGACCTTTATGCACTTTGCGTTCCTTGTTGTGCGCCTGACTGTAAAGTGTATTTTGAAACAAAGCTCTGGAAAGCATGCCTGTTACACTCCTAATTTGCATAGCATGAGGTCAACAAGGAACTAGTGTTCATTTATCATACATTATCAAAGTTAATGGAGACCAGCATCTCTTTGGTTACCCACATTCTTCAAAATATCTTCTTTTGTGTTCAGCAATATGTGTTCAGTTAATACAGGTTCGGGACAAGATGAGAGTGAGTAAATAATGACAGAATTTAAATTTTTGGGTGAACTATCCCTGTAATGACAAGCGGCAGCATGTTTAGTACTACTAGTCTGCTGTCACTTTAAGACCTGCATCTAATATACAGGAACGCATCTGTACAGATATCTTAGTCAAGTAATCAGGTGCTGTTTGACAGGCTTTTTAGTGTGTGCGCGCTTCATGTTCACGCTCAGAAAAAGCACACGTCAGAACAGTCCGCGAATGAAATGTTTAACCGGCAAGGCTTTAAAGCACATACATATAATGTACTTTTGTGACTGTGAATAAGTGCAGTGTCCCGTGAGTGTAACTGTCAACGCCGAGTAAACATTTGATGTGAATGTATGTCACGTTGTACAGTATATTGAGACAGAGGCGCCAGAACTGCAGCTGATAGAATGTGCGCTGTAGCATGATACTACGGTATTACTACTACAGAAGATAGTGGAGATATTTTAATTGTCCATGATCAAAAATCATGATATTGCACACCCCTGTCAAAACATTCTTAACTGTGATAAACTTACTGTAAAGCATATCTTTTAATAGCCTGGCATTCTAAAACGCACAGCTGAATAATACATATAGGCACAAATGAATTTAATATGAATAATAAGAAGAAGAATAAACAACTTTTCTGCCAAAGTAGTCTAAAGGTTTACGAATACAATGGGAACATGGTACATTATTATTATTATAGATATCTAAAATCGAAATGCCAAATTCTATGATTTCTAAGAATTTTTTTTTTTACATTTGTATCTGGCTCGTCTGTGTGGTGTTTTCAGTTTAGTGCCTCAGAAGGCTGCATCTGTAAAATCTTGTGTAAGGCGTATTAGAGAATCTGTTATGTCATCTTCAGGAAGGGAAATCCAAGAGGAGACAATCCAAGTAAAATATTACTACTAATCAAAATAACTACTTTCTGTTTAACTATATTTTAAAATGTAATTTATTCCTGTGATGCAAAGCTGAATTTTCAGCATCTTTACTCCAGTCTTCAGTGTCACATGATCATTCTAATATGCTGATTTGCGGCTCAAGAAACATTTAGTATATTATTATCAATGTTGAAAACCGTCATACGATATTTCAGTAATATTGATATTAATATTTTACTGATAATAATATTTTTGTGGAAACTGTGATACATTTGTTCTGGGATTATTTGATCAAAATAAAGTACAAAAGAACAGGATTTATTTGAAATAGATATTTCTGTAACAATGTAAATGTCTTTACCGTCACTTTTAATAAAGATAAATTAAAATATTAGAATATTCATTTCTTTCAAAATAAAATAAAATAAAACAATACTGTCCAAAAAACTTTGAACAGTAATGTTTTGATAGAAACCTGGAAACTGCACAATCTTTTCTGAGTTTTTCCCCTCATATAATCTATAGTCAACACTTCAGAGCAATGAGGGAGGAGTGCTGAGCCTCAGATGACATGCAGTCAAACAAGTCGGATTAAAACAATCAGCACACGTGCAAACATGACTGTGATACCTGTTGTTGGCAGTGGCGGCTCGTGGGTTTTAAAATAGAGGAGGCACACTAATTGTATTGGTCTGGGATCCCTACCGATTATTATTATTATTTGCTTAACCACTTTAAAATGGCTTAGTCAGAAAATGTAAAGAAAAGGACACACATACAGCAAGATAATATAACTTCACTTACCTGGCCTATTACTTGAAGCAAACATCCATCCTTTCTTAAAGGTCTGTGTTAAAAGAGAGCTGCCTGTTGTGCCATTTAATTAAGCCGACTGCTGTAGCCTATATCCATATTTTCCCTTTTTTATTTTTATTTGTATATATACTGTCTGTTGGCTATCAAATATTCAATATCGCTACTCATCATAAGTACTTGGTACATTATCAGCGCAGCAGGAGATGTTCAAACTAATATCACGTAATTTACGTCTCTTTGATGATTGGTTGATATCAGAAGGGAGGCCAGCCTCCTCTACGAGGTTTCTTTTCTCAACACACCTCAGCGCTGGAAGTGAACACTCGATGCTGATTGGCTATTTTTTTTTACGGAGGCACGAGAGCTCAGCTCCCCCCCGGGCTCCACCTTCTCTATCATTAGCGGTTGTAATTACATCAGCAAACTCGGCACATTCGCGATAGAAAAGTGACACTTCCCAAATTCATTAACATATTATGGTATTACAGCTGTGAAATTACAAACAAAAAATACACATT